ACACACACACACACACACACACACACACACACACACACACACACACACACACACACACACACACACACACACACACACACACACACACACACACACACACACACACACACATAATACATTACGCAGTTAGTCTTTCCAACTGCTGAATTCTTGGTCCATTGTTGGCAATTTTAATTTTTTTTTCAATTTTAATTATTTTTTCAATTTCAATTTCTTCTTTTTCAGTTTCAGTTTTCGTCATCACAAAACAATCCATACGGTAGAAATTATTTAATTGATGAAATACTAATTACCAAATATCTAACGGATTGAGTATTCATTGCTCAATAATTTGGGAAATTAAATTAAAGTAGTAAAAATTTACCCAAAAAAATTTTCGTTTTATTTCATCGTCTACTATTTCATTCGTGTCAACATTCATGGGTATTCGTGCATTTTCTGCATTTTCGTCCTCTAAATTAAATTTCTGCTCAACATCTGAATTAGGTTGATGAATCGAATTAATTTCGAAATTAAATTGCTGAATCAGCTTAATTTCGAAATCAGGTTGACAAATCAGCGTGACTTCTAAATCCGGTTAATGAATGTATCGTTCTATCATCTTTTGCAACGAAAACTTAAAAATGTATCCTTGCAATCATCGAATAGTATTTGTCAACTAATTATAAAACGTAACGTAAAGATATTGTGTCAATCTGTTATTATATTCTTTACCAAACTTAAACTTATCATTGTGCCATGTGATAATTAATATCTAATCACACATATAATTTAATCTTAATTAAATTAAAAATTTTATTAGAATCCCATTAAAAAAAGAAAAAAAAAGACTAACCAATATGTTCATTTTTTTGGGCCATATTTTTAGCATCATAAGCATTCAAAAAATTAAAGCCAAATAATGCTGCGGAAAATGTACACAAATAAAAGCCAGCAAGTAGAACAGGCCATCTTCCATAATATCGTATAAGGCCTGTTTTATTATGCGTTGTCGCAGTAAGTATTCCTAAAGCTACAATTAATTTTGTTAATTGAGTTTTTTTTTTCGTTTTTAAATGATGGAAAAAAAAATTTCGTTGAATTTTTCAACTTAGGAATTTTCATCACAGATCATCATATGTGATATTATCGGATTTGCATGAGGTATTTCACGTGAAGTAAATGTATAATTTAACGTATTCAACGTATTCACGTAGGATAAAGTGTAAAAGATCATACATGCAGCGATGAATGCGACAATAGCGCACATACGATGAAACCATTTGAAGTAGAAATGTTCGATCAATTTCCATTTTAATTGATTCAGTGCTATCACAATTTGTATTATAGCAAATATATAGGCAATTAAACCTGACCAAGTATGTATTGGCTTCATAAAATGCTACAACTTGGCCAAATAAAATTATCTGTCTTCGTTATCATTGATATTGATCAAATATACAAATATATTCTTTCTATTACGGTTAATATATCAACTTTATCACATTAATTACATTAATTAAAAAACAGTCAAAAGTGTAAAATCTTTTGAAAAAAGAAGAAAGGTTAATTAATCATAAAAAACATTGCTAATTAATCGTGATAATATGATCAGTGTGTCGAAAATGTTTCCAAAGTAATAAAAAAAAAAAATTTGATAAATTATTTTTGTTTATCTAAAAATTAAATTTTTATTTTTTATTTTTGTAAACTTTTTTTTGCAATAACTTTGAAAAAAAATAAATGTCAGAAAAAGAAAAGGAATAATTGAACTAACTTCCATGGTGCATTGACGTGTACACCATAAATGAAATTGAAATTTTGACTGAATAAAAATAAGTAAAATAGCTACCGTTTGTAACATTATTGATATTAGCGCACCACCACGATGAAGCTTAAAAAAAAAAAAGAATTTATGTTTTTATTTTTGAAATAATAAATGATTGATGTCTGTTGTCTAGAAAAAAAAAAAATCGCTTTTTTTTTTAAAATAATTTTTTAAAAAATTGATTAAACTATACTTGAAACCAAATAGGCATATAGTTGATTGTTTTGGTAGGCCAAAATGTTTTAAAATGTAATGATAGGAAGATTGCATTTGATATGAGAAACCACCAACTCCAAATCATCAAAATTACTGCAAACAAAAAAAAAAAATCAATTTCTTTTTTTTTGATAATTATTTTATTAATCAAGTTTTTTTTGGGGAAAAAAAAGAAAATAATTAGTGATTTCAAATAAAATGTAAAATATTATTTAAAAGCTTAAATGCTTTAATTTAAAATTCTTATTTTTTTACAGGTGAATGTTTAGAAGTAGCAATAATTTTGAATTCATGTCAGGTTCATTAACAGAAAAGGAAAATATTTGGTGGCGTTAAATGACATCATCCAAACAATTATTAGTCTAACTCATGATGTCCTGAGATATACAGCGAAATAATTGTTAGCTTAGCTTGGAATACCTTGAAATAATAAGCAAGGCAATTATTAGCCTGATTTGTGATTTCCTAATGGATCAAACAAAGCAGCCATTAGTCTAGCTTATGATATCCTAAGTTATCAAACAAAATAAACAGCCTAGCTTATGATATCCTGTGTATTAAGCGAAATAACTATTACCCCAGCTTGTGATATCCTGAGGTATCAAACTAGACAATTATGAGACTAGCTTATCACCTCGTGTATATCAATCAAAACAACTATTAATCTAGCTTGTAATATCTTGTCGTATCAAATAAAACAACGATTATTAGGCTAACTTATGATATCCTGTTGCAAAAAAAAAAAAAACAAGGAAAGAATAGAAAAATAAAAAATAAAAAATAAAAAATAAAAAACAAAAAAGCACATTACCTAAGTTGGATATTTTCGAAATAGTGATAATCGATTAATGAAATTTTAATCGAATCATAAATGATTTTAAATAATACATTTATTTCAACATGAAACCTAATTAGTATAAATCATTAATTAACTTTATCATAACTATAAGTAAATAATATGAAAATATTTTAATTAAAACAATATTACCGCTCACATTTTTTTTCTTTCTTTTTTAATATTTCTTTAAATAAAAAAAAAAGGAAATTAAACTTTTCTTTATTATTTATTTTGTGAAATATTAATTTACCATGTAATGTTACCATCGCATACGTACTACTACGTGAAAACCATTTAACTTGTCGAGCATTTTCAACATTTTCATATTTTCCATCCTTATTTCGTAGCATACTAATCATTGTTGTTGTTATCCATGGATAAAGTGAACCATCCGATAATGAATGCATCTTTTTTACATATGCTAATATTTGTTTATTATTAAAATTCTTTGCCTATTTAAATTAAAATAAAAAATAAAAATAAATGGAAAAAAGTTTTTAATAAAAATTCAAAAATTTTTGCCAAATTTTAAATACTTACTGTATCGATCAATTGATCCACGAACAAATTGTAAATAATAAGGATGTGCTAATAAATTATTTACCTAAAATTATATCAATTTTAAATGAAAGTATTTCAATTAATAAATGATTTATAGCAGTAAATGGAATAAAATATCAATGATTAGTGGTGATAAAAGATAAAAGGTTAATGGTTAATTATAAAGATGTAAGAAAATTGAGTAAAAGAAGAAAGTAAAACAAACTTTTAATTTATCATCATTAGACAATCGATTAAACTGTTTGAAATTAACATTAAGCAGGCAAGTAAAAGTATCATCATCTACGAAGAAACTAGAATTTACAATGAGGATAGCTGAAGCCTGAAATAGTTAAAAGTACCATCATCTACGATGGAACTAAGAATTTACAATGAGAATAG